GAGGGGGGGGCTCTTTGGAACTTGAAACATGAAATGAACCATGCACGGCAATAAATTGTAACCGAGTCAAAGGGATGCAAGGAGGAAGGAAGGAAAAGTGTTCTGGGGTCTGACCCAGATTCAAAAAAGAAGCTGGTGCACTCGTCAGCTGTTAGGACCCCGCGCGGAGCTGTCTGCCACCGTGCCTACACCGGGTCAGCCTGCAGCTACATCAGCAACTATCTCCGTCTGAGGGTGATGACCAAGAAACACAAGCGTGAATCACTCTTCTTGTTTCTACGTTGTTTACGTGCATCCTCCCAAGACCGACCGAATGACTCTCCCCAAAGCAACAAAGTCAAAGCAAATGTGCCCTAGTAGAAACATGTGCATCCTGTAGTAAATCAGATTGCATTCATCGCTTTCCCCTCTGTGGGCCTGACCCTCACCGAAGAGTCCATCCATATGGGACTGTCACGAAAACAAATCCTCGCTCTTAGTGTCTCAAAAGGAAGATGAATTGTATCTTCGTTCCTGCAGCATCTAATCAAATAGACTTGGTTAGCTTGCCACAGATTGTCACCTTATCTGACAAAGGCACCTATTGCAAAGACTAAATCGTGAACATTTTTGTGTTGGTTACTCGCCGGTGGAAATCAAGGAGAGGAAGCGAAAGACGCAGCGAGGAGGTGGTGGACTTGTGTGTTTACAAGAGCAACAGCTGGTGGGCTCATTAAGAGCTTTGCACACGGACTCATGCTCACGCGCACTGAGACATGCAGTATGTGCGCCCGCGTATGTTTGTGCGGGGGTGAAGAGAGCATGTTTATGCACTTAGAGGGGGAAGGTGAAAGAGACTCTTTCCTATCTGTCACTCGTGCTGAGAAAGGTCTATGTGCACAAAAGATGAGGATGACACAGGCGCTGTACACGATAAAAATATTGGGACATGTGGCCAGCAGTGGTGGGCGGTCAGGCCTGCAAGACCTGATCGAAACGCCATCACAAACGCTGACCTACATTTACAAACTCAATTGTAATATTTGTTCTTTTGTCCATCTAGTGTTGTCTCATTGGATCAAACGTGTACTTTGTATAAAGGTGGAGGAAGTGAGGGAGGGACACCTGGACAGGAAAGCGGCAAACCTCCATCTTCCCATTGCTCTCCAGCTGGCTTTCATTACAGGAGGCATGTAATGCTAAGAAAACTCACACGATACAGTGTGTATAACAAAAGAACAATAAAGTCCTTGTTGCACAAAAAAACACACCCAATGTAAGATGGGGAATGCATTTCTTGTCTGCATTCCGTTCAGCTCGAGTCCCCGCTTGCTTGACCTCCCGAGGCAAATATGTTGAGGAGAGGGGAAAAAAAAGAGGCGACAGCGCAACTACAAGAGCTTTGGTCTCCTCTGTGAGAATGCAGAAGGGGAGAACGGATGATATACTTCTGCATCTGGAAATAATTACAACGCGCCACTGCCCTGTTGAAAGGGTGATGAGTGTGGGGGGGGGGTATGATTAAAAAAAAAAAAAAGAGGAGGCCGCGGGATCAAGGAAAATGAGTGAGAACAGTACGTTGATGGAATATGTTTGAAAGAAACTGCACATCATCAGACTGAATCACAGAATGACTCAGAGAATGTGCCTTGAGATCTTATCAAGGCAGTGCCAGTGAGTGAGCACGAATCCCATTGAAAACCTGAACTAAGGAGTGTGAGCATGGACAACTGCATACATTCAAAATCTGTATCTTTGCACCTTGCCCCATTACCAATTACTATTAGATTAAAGAACCCCCCCCCCCAAAAAAAACCCAAAAAACAAAACAAAACGTGGTCTCCAGTACTCATTCGAAGAAAGCTGAGGCATCTGATTTGCAGCTGTTATTCCTCAAATGAATTGAGTCTGTTCAACATCGCCCTCTGCAGTTACAAGGGCCACATTGAAAATCTTAAAGTGGAACTTGCACAACCGCGCAGTTAGCTAAAATTGTCATTGTTTGAGTTAGTCAGTCAATTAAGACGTACAATTGTGCTCGGTCCCAAAATATACTGTGTTCACAAACTAGCATTAGCGAGCTGTACTCAAACATTCCTCAACACATCCCTTTTTAATGGTTTCAAAAACACATTTCATATTGTCAATTACTTTATTCTCTTCTCAATTAAATGATGAATCGACGTGAAAGCTTAGTTAATATTTGGCTAGCTATCGCTTGGCTAAACTGTGAAGTTAGCATGTTAGCACCAACCTGTCTGTGGGTTTCATATTCACGCGTTAGGCTTAGGGTCTTGATGTCATAGTTGTTAATGTCTCTCATCTTTGAAACTTGGATGTTGCCATGCTCTTTTTCTGGTTTTTCTCAAAAAACATAATCCTTATATCCAAATATAACTTCGGAGTCCCCTCAATGATACATGCTTCATTGGGTGGCGTCCGCACCTCCTGAGACGAAAATAATAATAATAATAATAATAATAATAATAACAACAATAATAACTTGACTGTAATCATCTAAACTAATTTGAAAATATCTATTTTCAAAGTGAACAGACATGAAAAGTCAGGGCATAGTTCAAATCTAGGTCAAGTCAGTTCTCTAGCAAATTTGAGTTAAGCAAGCCCCACATTTCAGATGTACACCATTTACAAAAGTATGCTAATAGGGAACTTGTTTCCAGAGGGACTTGTCAAGCTTGCTTCACACGTGGTGACAACCGGGATAAATTTGCAAATAAAAAACTTAGGATTTTTGAAAAGAGATCATTTCGGGCAATAAAGAGTTATCCGTTCTTCCCTGAAGACCATTCCAATCTTCGCTAGTATGCATTTTTTTGTGTAAGCATTTAGCATGATGCTGTCATACTGTCAATCATGCATGTTGGAGGTGTCTTTGTGAGACAGAAATATGATATAGGAGATGTAAATAATAGCTATTCAGGAATCCGCTTTCGTTGTGTTAGTTTATTAATGAGCCACTCTGTCTCTTCTTTCGCTTTTCAAATTGCCCAACGTTAAAGTGTTTGGAAGTCATCGTGGGCTTAACGCATTAGGCCTTGTCATATCTGAATGCATGACAGGTGTGGTTCAAAATGTGTGACCGTGCCAAAATCACACGAGGGTGTGTTGCCTGTTGTTTAGTCTGCGCACAAGGAAATGTGTTGTTCTTAAATGACATGTCTCCTGAAAATGATCTCTCTTTATTTTCCAAACATTCATCATTGACAACATTAGGTATATGTTCAAATGAGAGCCAATGCATGTGCTCTAATACACTCTTTCAAATTCCAAACACCTTCAGCCATGGAATCTCCGCAAGTTTCTGCAAACACATGACTCTCCTAAATGTTCTCCTCCCTTCGAATGTTAATTATCCAACCTCCTTGTTGCTAAAGAAACAACCACAAGCAGGGAGGGAGCACAGCCCTGTGCTCATGCAGAGGGAAATTTCTTTTGTCGGATAAACAAAACCTGAAACAGCAAGGCATTCCGAGGAAAATAGAGGTGTACTCATCAGAAGCTCTTCACCCCCATTTGCTTATTCTCGTACACTGCAAACAGACATTTCTCACTTGTGTATGGTTGAAACCATCATTTACTGTAGACTGTCTAAACAATCTGTTACGTAACTGCAGGTCTTGCAATTCAGCCAAGTAAAGTGTAAAACTTGTTTTTTTTCCCGCAGATGTACCACACAATTACATTCGTTGAAATAAACAGATTACACAAACATGTCAAGTGATCATTGATGCATCGGTGTAGTATTTTGTACTGAAGAGTAATAGTGACATTGATGTCACTGTAGTTGAGAAGTCGTTAAGTACAAATACGTTATTACTCTACTAAAGTACTCCAATATTTTTCTTCTGACACGTTTTTAACTTTTACCACCACCATTTGAAGAGATGTGTACTTTCTCGTCTACTTTGTCGCAGTGTCACTTGCAGGTACTTTACGTAGGACTGGTAAACAATAAAGTGATTCAACTTTGTGTGCAGAGACTTTTTTTTAACAGTACAATTCACTTTTACGTTTGTGTTTTTTTTTTCCAGACGTATCCGTCCTTCTACTTAAGTAGAGCCAATGGGTACTGGAGTTTCCTCCCTCTGCATCGTTTTTTATTTTTTGTCCCTTTACACAGCTCGAATGTTCATTGTTTTGACGCTCAACTTTCACCTTATTAATGCCATCGGCAAATTGCAATTCTGTCCACGTCATTCAAGCGGCCTGTTTTTGTGAAACCTTCCTCATTCGCCTCCCCGGGTGTCTTGATGCCGACTTGTGATTGGCTAACACAAGCGTCTCTCAACCCAACCCGCCACTCAAACTCCGCCTCTTTCCATAGTTGTAGAGCAATGAAGCGAGGAATCGGGAGGACTTCCCGGACAGGTACTTCACCTCTCTGCAACCAGGATGCGACGCGGTTGTTTTCGCCTCGTTTCTCCCCACTAACACCATCAACTCAGGTAGCTATCTCCATATTAATGTCAACCCTTGTTTTGAATAGCGCCGCGTCGCAATCGGGTTTTTGACGGAGGAATAAAAACACCGCTTTCGATAGAATGACTAATGAGACTGTCGTGACATTTGTGGGCCATCCAGTGCCTGAAAGCAGGACCCCATCGAAATGGGGAATTGATTGAGTTGCTAGCGATGCTTTGAGCGCACCGGTTCGACGATAAAGTCAGGAGTATTGGACTCTCTCACTCCTGACGAATTGCAGCGTTGCCAGGTCACCGTGGGAACCGAACGTTTTAAACTGGACACCTGTGGAGTTTATCTCCATTCACAAATGTTTATTAGCTATTTTAGGTAGTCGTCGTTGCCGCCTGTCTACAATTGCCCAATTACTGTTAGGAATATGAAGCCTTTTTCGAAGTCACTGGTGAAACGTAGAAAAAAAGACTTTATTTCAAAATGTTATTATTGTCTTATACTAGGCACTTTTCGCTTTTTGTATCCGCTGTATATACACTACTTATTTGTCAAAATAAAAGATGATGCCCTCAGAAAAAGTAGGTACTCTTTTCTGCTGCTTTTTGATTTCATGGGGGTAAAAAAAGCAGAGTAATAGTACTAAAAACAAACCAAATACAATCTAGTCTTGCTGAAATGCCTGTCTATGGAAATATGAAATCTGTAACGGTACTGTACAAAATTGATTTGGGTCTGTATCATAATAGAGGTGGATTTGATAGAGCGAACTAGAAGGTAGCAGGTGAATTAGTCACAGTACTGCCAACGCGTTTTTGGGTGTCACCATTCAGATTGTCTGATATTACTGATTTATGATTCTGTCACTCTTTGCAGTACACGCCTACAGTACTTAAAAAGATGTGAAACATTCCGTGCTATTTCACCCCTGCACCCCTCCAAAAAAAAAAAAGAAAAAAAAAAGACAGGTAGCCTAATTGGATGTACTTCATGTTTTGTTCCCAAAGCAATGAGCTGTAACATCAAGCTTGAAAGTTATCCTAAGTGACATGGTCTGCAAACGATTGCAGGGTGCTGATGTCTGCATTCAACCATCACGGGCTTTTAGATTGAAGTCAAGCATGGTGTTAAAAATATGACCGCTCAGCGCTAGACTATGTGGACATGATGTCAGCAGGTCAGATAAGGGCTGCTAAGTGCTGCTGCCACCATATGTTTTGAACAAAACAGCTGCTATGGTTGTGTCACAAAATTTGGGTGCTTGTGAGTCGGTTGAAAGCAACTTTACACTCACAGTCTGATAATCACAGGATCATGCGCAGTTTTCATCGGATAATTCCCGTAAGGAGCTTTGCCGCAAGATTCTGGAGGTTTACCGGAGGGAATGTTACCCATTTGCAAGGACTTCTTTGCTGTCCATTTCGATGCTAATCCACTGCAGGCGATCCAGCTTGTCCGGTTGACAGCATCTCTGTTTGAGAATTTATTCAATATCGTGAATATCCAGCGTAAGCGCTATGCACAGTATTCATACACTCTTTGTCCTCCCTAGTAAGACCGTTCAGTATACTTGTAGAACATTGAATAAATGCTCAATTGGCGTTCCGTGTCGATTACTAGATGAATCACTCGACGGATTGGAAGAATACATGCTCAAAGGCCGATGTAGTAGTTGTGAAACAACGTCTGTTGATGTCACTCTCGTTCACGACTGGAAAGTCCAGTCTGACATTTTCTCATGCTGGAACTTAGCTCGTGTCAAGCTTCCGCAAGACGATGGAGATGGGAAAAGTTGCAATCTGTTCTCACGTGACAGAATGAAAAATATTACTGCAAAAGTCCCGATTGTCATTCATGAATGACGCTCATTCATTCAGCCGGTCGCATTTGCATTGACTCTTCTTCCCTTTCACCCATTTTACAAAAAAAAAAAACCCACCGTCATTTTGCTTCACCTTGACGCCTTTCTTCCCTCACGTCTGCCTTGTGACTTTGCCGATGACATAACCTCTTTGCGCCGTTAACAGATAATTTACAATCGTTTGTGTCATTAATGATTGACACGTTTCGGGATAACGCGGGTTTACCAGTTGCCGTTAAACCGCAATGAAATTTCAGACCGCTAGTGTTACCGTTTCACGTTGTAGTTCTGATCTGGTTTTCTGTCTGAGGGTCAGAGTTGTCTTTAGGCCTCATCCACCCAGCAACAGAAAATAAACCGAGAACTCTGTTGCGCTACATGAAGCTGTTCAAGTGTGTTGTTTCTATGATGTCTGTGTTTTGAGTCCAAGCCCCAGCGTGGGGATTCAGTGTGCCTTTAGACACGCTTGCTATGGTGTACCAAAGCACATTCTTTCCTGTTGATGACTCACCCCCCGGGCACGGCCGCGAGGGAGGCCCCCGAGATAGCGCAAAATAGCACACACGCATTTTAACCATGACACTGTATGCATAGGCTGCATGGAGCCGCGCCTTATTATGAAGTGCACTCTACACAATTTGCCATGCACGTAAACCCCGAAAGGTGCCTGTCAGCCATTTTGGGAAGCAGTTTGTTGCACAGGTCTCTCACATTCACTTCACAGTATCGTGCACAAATGGGGCGTGGCTAGCAAACGCTCATGGCGCTGCAACAAAAGCATGAACAAACACAGCCCGGTTGGGGCATGTGTGGCAAGGAGAGGAATGTCTGTTATATCACAGCGAGAAGCTGATTTTTTTTTTTTTTCTCATGTAAACACGGGCTAAGCATTATCACCAACAAGAACGCCACGCTTTTCACCGGCCATTGTTTCGAAGCAGGATTGTTCTAAAAACAAACTGAAGCATCTAGGATGAGGAGTATTTACCAGTAAAAAAAAAAAAAAAATTACAACCGTTTGCGGCAGGAATAAGCATTTTTAAGGGATTTCATCGCCACTCATCCGCCGTGCAGCCCAGTTTTAATATCCTTACTTGCTTCAAATAACTGCACTTTTACGAGGGATGTTATCACTTCCATTTTGGAGTCTTTCTGGTTGCACGTGCACATGAAAAGAGCGAAACCCATCTGCTCTGTCCTCACCTGAGTTTCTCTGAACCCTGTCTCGGCAGCACTGCCTTCCGTTGCGTGACCTTCAAAGGTCAGAGTGGCTGCCGCCTGCCGCTCCACTGTGATCCCCAGCGCTGGACTTGACGCCCAAAAAAGGGACGACGACAAAGATGATGTCGCCATCGCCAACTCATAGTGACAGTAGTGGCTCTTCGAAGCAGGATAGTAACCAGGTGAGGGGTTTTTTTTTTCTTCCCCCTTTGGTCAACAACATGAGTTTGCTGCCGATGAAATGTTTTTGTCAAACCTCTGCTATGTGCTGTTTTTCCCGGTCCCCCTTACAGGATAATTGGGAAATTGTTGAGGGGCTCAGGGGGGCTCCTGCCGTCATGCAGCAGCCTGAGCCACAGCGGGGCTTCCTGTTAAAGAGAAGGAAGTGGCCGATGAAAGGATGGCATAAGGTGAGCACCTCATCAAACAGGATTGGAGGCCCATAGCGTATAATTAATCACGTGGGCGTCCTAGCGCAGCGCATCACATGAAATAATTGTTGTGAAGCCAAATCTGTGTTTTCAAAAATTACTGCTGGGAAGTCCTCATCATCTCACCTGTCATCTTATGACGTCTCTGGTCATTTTTCATTTGATTGCTTTCTTTCCTATCACCCTGACTAATCCTCATCCTTCTTCCTCCTCCACCCCTTTTTTTTTGTTTGCACTCATCAATGCCATTCAGAGATTTTTCGTGTTGGACAAAGGCATCCTGAAGTATGCGAAGCATGGCACGGATGTAAGTATCTCCTTTGGACTGTGTTGTTGTCATTTTTGCATGCTAACGCGCACTTTGTTGAACTGACAGCTGAGAAAGGGAAAGATTCATGGCTGCATTGATGTCGGCCTTTCCGTCATGGCAATCAAGAAGTCAACCATGTGCATCGACCTGGACACCGAGGACAACATCTATCACCTCAAGGTACCGTCGACGATCCACACGAAACACGCATCCAAAATGGGCCGCCTATGACATCATTCGATTCACGACTTGTTTTTGTGACTCCTATTTGTGGCACCCAGACAAAGTCTCCCGAAGTGTTTGAGGAGTGGGTGTCAAAGCTGCGTCATCACCGCGTGTTTCGGCAGAACGAGATTTCCTCATATCCTCACCCTCACCACTACCACACTCACACCTTATCCTCGCCCGCTGTCACGGACTCCATAAGGAAGGTAAGTTGCGTCAGCGCAGCTTGATTTGCGGAAAATCGGCAATTAGCAAAGGGCCAAAGTCATTTCATCGCCCTCGCACGCAGAGGGCTTCTCTCCCCAAGCAGATGTCGATCCATCAGGCCAAGGTCAGCTCTTGGCTTCACTCCTCAGAGGACATGAATAAGTGTGCCAAAGGTTTGTTTTTTGTTTTTTTTCACAACTCACCTTTATCTAGTCTGGCACTTGAACGCCACACACTCTGGCCGAAAACGTTCTGAACCGAAGTTCGACCGAACTCTCTTTTCTTGCGAGAACTTTTCGTCCTCATGGAAATGATGTTCTTTCACTAGACTTGGAAGAGTGTGAATCGCACCTCCTGGAACTCAACCTGCTGCTGAGGAGCATGGAGGTCATGCATCGCACATACTCTGCGTCATCTATCAACGCACTCCAAGTAAGCATGCCACGTCCACTCTTTGTGCAGCTGCTATGAACTCAATTTTGGATCGTGTCAGTCAGATTGGGTTCGGCACTCGACAGACGTCATTTTCTTATGTCACCACAGGCATCGACTTCTGATATCTCAAAGAAAGAGAAGAAGACAAAGAAATGGCGCTCCAAGAATAGCAAAAACAGCAAAGTAACAACACAGGTATTTATACGACTGTATTTTGTCGCCGATTCATTTAGAAGGACTGGCTTTCATGCTGCCACGTATTTTCTTTCTTCTTCTCGCCACTAAGATGCCTCAAAATAATGCCTCCAATCCCAATCTCCCAACTATGGAGGCAAACAGTCAAGAGGTCTTTCCGGAATCTCCGGACTCTCCCGTTGACGTTTCTCGTCTGCAAGAGAACTTCAACAGGCTAGCTAACAGCAGTGAGTCTGTTGATGAGATTTTTCTCCGGTGACATAATGTGTGTCATTTTAATCACGTGTTTTTTTTTTTTTTTTCTGTTTGTTTCTCTCCAGTCCACAGCACGCTGAAATCAGCGTATGGCTCCCTGTCAGCAGAAAGGGACAGATTAAGGCAAAGTATCGAAATGCAAGCTCCCCAGCCGTTGCAGGTTACGGCCTTAAAGACCGCCTACGGCTCAGTGAGTGACACGGCGCCCCCTGAGCGCGTGCGCTCATGTGATCGCACCATAACCACGGCCTGTAATAATTCGCTCTGCCGACTTTTATCACCCGACCAGGATTGTCCAGAAGAAGGCCATTCTTTGGTCCACCAGGCATCAAATGAAAGCAAAGCGTCAATCGCCGAGTCGATCTCAGAGTTCTACGATGCGCAGGAGTACCTCCTCTCCTCGTCCTCCTCTGAGAATGAGGTGATGCTCGATCGACTTGGGAAGCCTTCTCCTTTCAACGCTGGTCTTTTCAAAACACTGTTTTATTCTTCACTCGGAAACCTCGTTTTTTAAATTTCCGATTTGAATTGATAGGTCTCAAGCAAATGAAATCAAAACATGTCCAGCAGGGGTCACCATATTCTTTTTTTTTCTTTTTTTTTTAACTGAGCTTGGCGACCGATCTACTCCTAACTACCAGCAATGATTTACCAGGATGAGGAAACAGATGTTATAATTTCAAATGATCACTCTCACCGAATTCCCGGGAAATCACAATGTCCCATCATGGGTGAGCTGTTTTTAAAACAGGCCCGCAATCTGTTTCAGGCGGTACTTACGGGCTTGCTTGATAAAAATCAATCAAGCATTGCGCATCAGTGAGGATGAGCGTTAAACTCTAAACTCACGTTCATCAATAAGATCTATGAATCGCCTGAGCCTGACGGATATATGGAGTCATTCGGTGTTCTTGTGGAAATATTTCTCTTTGTTCATTCTGGTCGCCTGCTGACCTTTCACGATTGCTCTTCCCCAGCTGTCCGACGACGACTCGTACATCAGCGACGTGAGCGACAGCATTTCCGTGGATACCTGCAGCAACGGAGGGGGCAGCGAGAGACACGATTCAGGTACGTGAAAGCCGCTGCGCTCTTTGTATGCACGAGTACACCTTTCCGTTCTGTTCAAGAGAAGGCAAGCTTTTCCCCTTCCATCTGGGAGTGTGACAAATTCCTCTTGCGTGTTTATTTTCAGAGACTGATAGCAATCGATTCTTATTAAATGAACGTTGTTCTCAGTCAAGGCGCGTGGAACAAATCCGGAAAGTGCCATGTTAATTTGAGAAAACCAAATTCGCTCTGGTCTGTGATCAAAAACTCAAAGTGCAACGATATTTTTTTAAAGTACAGCCAGTTTAGCATCTCAGTTTTTTTCTGGTTCTTTCTCTCTTATTTTTATTTATTTTTATTTTTTTGACAACCTAATCATTCAACGCCTCCCCTCGTCAGTGAGTAGCGTCGGCTCTGTGATTCGTCGTCGCACCACGCTGCCCGCTCCCAGTCCCCCCTGCAGCGTGAGTCTGTGGAACATCCTCAGGAACAACATTGGGAAGGACTTGTCCAAAGTGGCGATGCCGGTCCAATTGAACGAGCCCCTCAACACCCTGCAGAGGTTGTGTGAGGAGCTGGAGTACAGCGAGCTGCTGGACACAGCCAACAAGACCGCCAACCCTTACCAGCGTATGGTGAGAGGAGCGAGAACTTCCTCTTGAAATGTGAAGAGTTAAATTTGATGACGCCGTCCTTGATTTGGCCGCCTTTCTTTTCCCACAAAGGTTTACGTTGCGACCTTTGCGATTACCGCATACACGTCTTCCTACTATCGAGCTGGAAGCAAACCTTTCAATCCGGTCTTGGGAGAAACCTACGAGTGTGACAGACCTGACAAGGGCTTCAGGTTTATCGGCGAACAGGTAGGTTTGACACAGGTAACGTCAAAGTTTGCGTTTGACTTTGGAATGTTGCACTAGTATCGCTTTGCCATTCCCCTCGTGACGCGACAGTCATTTTAAAAGATCGGTAGGCGGCGGGTGACTCATTCTCGTTACCCGTGTGAGGCGGAACAGCACCCTCTTCCTGTTTTCTGACGCATTCACCTAACAGGTTATACAGTCGAGTAATTAGCTATTTTATTTTTTAATCCCTATGATTTTCCCATTGTATTTGCCCAGGTGAGCCATCACCCGCCTGTGTCAGTATGTCACTCGGATTCAAAGAACTTTTCTTTTTGGCAAGGTGAGCATGAAGGACTTTTTTTTTTTTGTTTGTTTCTGCTGCTTCTCGTCATGTTAAAATGTGTGTCCGCAGCAGTTATGTTTATTCGATGGAGACATGATCTTTCTAGCTTGATTTGTGAACCCTTAACACATTTTGTTTCCTTCCTTTGTAGATGTTCGGTTGAAAAATAAATTTTGGGGAAAATCCATGGAAATTGTTCCAATCGGTACGACCAACGTCATGCTACCTTCGTAAGTCATTCTCTTTAATTTTTGGGCGATAAGTACCGCCATCTTGTCCAGGATAGGGAGGTCTTCTGTTGATTGAATTTGATAAATTCCCCAACTTTTGAAAACTGTAACTGTTTGTTTTTGGTAGGTTTGGGGACCATTATGAATGGAACAAAGTGACATCCTGCATCCATAACATCCTCAGTGGGCAGCGTTGGATTGAACACTATGGCGAGATGACCATCAAAAATGTCAACAGTAACACTTGCGAGTGTAAAATCACATTTGTCAAGGTCAGACCCGACAGATTGACTCCTTTTGAATTATTAGTTAATAATAATAAAAGATGACCTCATTTATCCCCATGCCATTTTATTTTGTTTTATCAAAACGTTTGATCTCCAAAGCATGACTATTGAAACATTTATTTTCACTTTCCCTCTCTTTGCAACACTTTTCATTCACTATCAAGAGCACAGCACCATCTGTTGACCAAAGAAGGAATTACAAAAAAAAACATTTTAGGCAGCCTGAAATCAAATCCTTTCATGGATTAATTTGTAGCGTTACGACGGACCGTGATAGAAGGTCTTTGATTTTACATTTAGTTGTCCTTTTATCTCTTTCAGGCGAAATCATGGAGCTCCTCCGTCAATGAGATCGAGGGCGTGGTGACCGATTCCAATGGACAGGTTGTGCACTCCATTTTTGGGAAATGGCACGAGTCCATTTTCCAGGGCCACCCGCCTTCTGCCACGTGCATCTGGAGAGCAAGTGAGTCAAGGGCCATTTTACAAAAAGGAAGCGTTACTTGCACCTTACAATGAGATCATGTAATATCTGCGGATTGTTTCTGTAGATCCCATGCCGGTGGACCAGGACCAGTACTATGGCTTCACTCAGTTTGCAATGGAGTTAAACGAGTTGGATCCCACCATCAGACCTCTACTGCCCCCTACAGACACACGCTTCAGATTGGACCAGAGGTTGACATCAGTTCATTTGCCATTTTTAAAAAAAAAATACATTTTTCTTTCTCCTTCAAGACACTAAGTGTAAGTGAATGATGTCGAATTTCCTTTGGCCTCTTTGTTCAGGCTCTTGGAGGAGGGAAACGTGGAAGGAGCCGAAGAACAGAAGCAGAGGATAGAGCAGCTCCAGAGGGAGAGGAGGAAAGTGCTGGAGGACAACAACATGACCCACCGACCATGCTTCTTCAAGTATGCCGCCACTGTCCTTGTTTGTTTGAATACACAATCGGACGTGTGTCTTTCTTCACCCGCATGACTATGAGATGACATATACCCATGCTACTGTGTCACAAGTGAGAGTCTGCATACTCCTTGAGCCCCGTTATTTTCAGCCAAGCATACATTTGGTCACAAGAAAGACACGCGCGTTGTAGATACATGTAACAGATGCATGTTGCATTTATATTTTAACAAAAGTGCACAGCGCGTATATCACGTTTCAACGACACTCCTACATTTGCACATTTGCCTGTTGTAGATTTATTTGATTTTTTTTTCCCCCAAGAACCAGTCATAATCATTCATTCACCAATTCCCCTTTTCACTCAGGGTTGAACTGACGAATCGATGAGTCAATTCCCCTAATCGGCACCAATGTCTAAAGCTTGAAGATGACGAATCGCCAATCAGGTGTTTTTGTCATCGCTGGTCTTTGCGTCGGCCAATTGACGGAAGCCTTTAGATTCGCCCATCAGCAATGAAATGTTTGGCCAACAAGGCGACAGTCCTCAAACATCTGCACCAGTCAGTGTGAAAATAAGATCGCTGTGAATGACAATAGCTGCTGTTCCGATTGCCGCTAGCAGCTGGACCATCAGACTGTTGGCGTAGCGCGAGGACAGTGGAGCGAAGTGATGCTGTCGCTGTTGCCGAAATGTTATTTCCAATAATATGTGGGCAACAACGCATTGACAACAAGGACTTTTTTTTTTCCCATGCTGCAACAAGCACCGACTGGTTCATTAGTCCTAGTGCAGATCATGGCCGTACTGCGCTACTAGCATGTGGAAATACTTGACCGAAAATGACACTGGACGCACCGTCACATTCACAATTTGAAAGTCTGCCCACAAATGCCACAAAAGCACAAGTGAAACATCGAGTGAAACTGAAAAATGCTTACGTTTTTTGGAGGCAGCCTTGCTATGATATCTTATCTTACAACACGCAGTACTATGGTACTCAAAATGGCTAATTGAATAGAGGCTGACTGGAAACTCGCCTCATTCATCAAGAAAATATCCACAACTGCTTTTATTGTGTTCACAGAAAGTCAGAAGATGACACATGGGTGAGCAACAACTCGTATTGGGAGTTACGCAGAGACCCCGGCTTCACTAAAGTGGACTTCCCTGTGCTGTGGTGACCTGTCAATTCAACTCGCACTCCACTCGACTACAAATTACCAGAAAGAGGGAAGTCGAAAACTGAAGTGGGGTTGGAGCTCAAGTGGCCCTGATTCGTGTCACAGTAACCAAAAACCAACATGGACTTCCTGTGCCCTCTTTTAAGAGCCAGCAGACTGTTTTCCAATTCCACCACCTTCTTTATCGTGTACATGATTGTCTCATTTCTATTCTTATTTACACTTTGTTTGTGTAGACTCAAGGTATACTGCATAACAGAGATTTATGGATCACCTTTTACCAAAGTGCCTTTTAGTGCAATGCTGCACACATTCAACTGCTGTTGCAGTTACATTTACAAAAAAAAAAGACTTTCAAATGTCATTTGTCAAGGGAAGAGGAAAAACCACAGAACTGTTTAAAAAAAAAGTACAGAATTACAGGAGCGGATCAGCAGTTCCCGAGCAACTTTGGCTCTGTGGTATCCTCCACCTCATCATACTCTGGATGGACAGGAATCTCAAGAAAAAAAAAGGCACTGGTGCTTCGAAAGTGGTAATAAATAACACTAAAGATTGACAGCTTTCTTGTGCTTTTGGTTGGTTTATTTCAAAAAGATCAAACCCCATGTAAGATCAGAATGATTTGCTTTCTGATCACTGCACTCATACAACATCCTGAAAGACAACATGACGACTCTTCCAGGGTCAGAGACACTCCGTGACTGAAATGTATTTGCAAGTATATTGCTCAACAAACATACATCTATCCTGGGTCGACTGGCACAGCTTCAAGGAGTTTTACAAATTCTGACTCAAAAAAAGTTGTCGACGACGTGACAAATCAGTCAAACTGTCTTGATTGTGGTTTTAGGGAGGACTGCGTTGCATCATCGTGCATGCATGGATATTGTTCTAATATATCTATTACGCAACTACATGAGAAGAAAATTTCGAGTTGCCGCTTTTCATCAGATTATTCTTGTAAGTGTACCTCATGTGGAGGCATTTGACTGAATTTGTCTCCTAAAGTTATTTTGTTTTATGGATCAATATACTTTTCTCCACGGCAACAGGAAAAGAGAATAGGATGAGATAATGTGAAGAAATTTGTGTGGTTCACAGGCTGGTTAGTGGGCTTGTGAGCTCTCAGAAGTTACACTTGTGTGTGTGCCCCATTTCTTTGCCACTCAAATTGAGATGCCGAACCACAAAAATCCCCCACCATTTCATACATTGCATCACTTTCAGTATTTCCTTTATGCAGTTTTATACTGAAAATTTGAATGAGGCAAGACCAGCTCCTGTCTTGGAAACACGCGAAGCTGCCTGTGTAATAATTGAGTCCAGTTGAGAGACGCCAGTGGGAGGAGGCACAAGTCTGCCCATAGACTGGAAAAGTGTCATTTCCAGCTCGCTCTCTCTCTCTCACACACACACCATCCTGCTGCTCCCACCATTTTCTAATAACTGCGAGAGTGAGCAAACTCAATCTACTAAACCCAAGTGGACAACTATTCGCCCGCTTCGGTGACATTGACTTCGGTAACAACGCCATCGCGGGACTCGAACGGCGACGTCACAACCTCCTGGCAAGGTAAGTAATCGGTAAGTCCTACTTTAACGTTCCTTTGCGTGAGCAAAATGCTACATTGGTGGCCTTAGATTCATTTCTCACTTTTGTGGAAGGCGTCTTATGTGATTTTAATTTGAAAATCCAAGTCATGAGATTCGCTTTGGACCGCGGTGGTACGCTCGAGGGGCTCCGGGAACTTCAGGACACGCGCGTGTCTGTTGCGGGACTTGAGGAAGGTAGCCAAGCGCCTTTTTTTTATGTCACTTTCAACTTCTTGTGCTTCTAATCTAATGATTCCATGCACAGTTCGCATTTGAAAGAGCATCGTTAAGAACTGTATGGACCGTAACAGATTTCTCAGATGAAAATATGTCATCATGCAGTGGCGGGTCGTGTTTTTTTTTCTTTTTTAACCTGCACGGGCCTTGAGTGGGGGACTTCCCCGACTTCATCCACCCCAACCATCATGTCGACAGCAGCTTTCAATGTTATGTAACACAATCGAACAGCACGTAACTGTGCCATGTGCAGCATCTTAGTAGTTGAAGTTTACTGGCGCGAGTTTAGTCAAACGACATGAATTAGTTGTTGTGCTGTATGGGCGTGACAAAAGCAGGCACATTTGGTTGGAAAGTAAGAAGGAACATTCTGTGGGGGGTTCGTGTGGGAATAGATGACAGTACAGGTATTTGCTTAACCTCCAGCGGGAAACATTTTCTGCTTTTCATTTCTCGCAACCAACTTTCTGTTCTTCGCATTTACCGTTCTAACGCAAAATCATGGAGCGCAAACCCACTTCAGCTGACTTTTTTTTACATATTGCCCTTTGAAATCCGAGCTTGCAGAAGTCCTGCACGTGTGTGTTTTATCGGACTGTATTAATAACAGGGAACTTTGCGTGGACTGCTCATTGGATGACACTGACGTGTGTCAATTTTTGTAGCCTACTCGCACAGGGTTTGATTGAATTGTATTTTTTTCGACTTTTCTGGGAACGTTTGGGAGGGAAAAGACTACAAATTGTCCTCAGCTCTCGTGTGTTCTTTTTCTTCCCACAGTTCCAGCCATGTTTTCCAAGGCCACTGCCAACTTTGTCCGTCAGGTTGACCCGGAGGGAAGCCTCATCCACGTGTCCCGCATGAATGACTCTTCCAAGCTGCTTCCGATGGCTCTGGTGGTCAAACGCAAGCGTGTCTGGTTCTGGCAGAGGCCCAAATACCGACCAACAGATTTCAAGCTCAATGATTTGTTGCTGGGCGAGAAGGGGCTTACGCCTGGTATGTAAGTCTTGCTGACTGTTTGTGTTTATTTCTTGACATTAAAAGTACAGTACTATATAGCGCAGGTCATCGTTCGCTCTCCTGATATATCTTATTGATTTGTATGAAGTGAGTGGGGGTTTTTTGGAGGTTTTTACAGTATACAGCCTAGTCCGGATTTAGAGCTGTGCGCCCAAACACTATTTTCCTCTGTTCTCATGTTCCTCTTTATACTCCTTTTAGATGCTTGGTCTTTTTTTAACAAAAAAAGGGCAAAGAAAGAGCAAAACACATGCACAGTTACTCCTTAAGTTAGTGACAACTCGACTTTTGTGCTGCATATTTTTCCCGAAAATGCACCGTACATAAATCATTGTACGTGAAACGACACTGGGTCACGTGACTGCATGATTTAATTTCAAGATTCAATCATGAACGCCTCACATTGATGTCTGTTTCAGTTGTGTCCAAGAAAGAATTCGTGACCTACATGGGCATTTTTGGAAACAAACTCGCTGGCAAGCTGGACACGGAAGCTGCTTCTGTCGGCATAAAAGTCGAGGCTCTGGGCTCATCTAAACTCCAATCGGATTTCGGCAAGCTGAAGAAAGAGGAAGTGGATATGAACAAGTTGTTACAGGACTCCAACAAGAGGTACTAAATAATTCCTGATATAGAACAATAGACACCGACACCTACATTCAGTGGTGTTTTATTACTGCGGCGATCTCCATTGCGTAGAGTACACATTCATCTCTCCTTTGTACCAGGCTGGTTGACATGGAGCACGTGTTGGTGCAGCAGCTCGAGAAGCGATCCGACATCCTGGCCGTTGTCAAAGAGAGGATCCTCACCACCGCCGCCTGCACTGTCACGGAGACCAAAAAGGAGCAGTGTGCCTTGCACGCCATGGTGGGACTGTTGGGCAAGCTGGGGGCCAACATTAAGGTGAGTGTCTTGTGCATCGAAAGTGCCAAAGTCTTGTCTGGCCTCGTGTTAGCAATCTGCATGGGGTAAGAGCAGTGGCGGTTTTTATTATGTGTGCGGCCCCGCACGGTATGTCGATTAAAAGTTAATACGACAAGATTGCAGCCGTGAAGGAATTTGTTAATAGCGAGTGCGTGTATCTGATTTCAGGTCTGCATCAAGGAGAGCAACAACATAGAGGCGGACATGGACGTTTGTTTGGAAATCCCGTCTGATGTCGTCATTGCATATAGCGTCCTGGAACTTAACATTGAAAAAGACGGACACTTCAGTGAGTGTGTGACGGTCGTGAATGCCACTTCTCCATTCTTGGAAAGATAAAGTCGTTCTCAGAAATGCTTGGAACAGCTGGAATATCATTCTTATTTTCTTTTGCATGATCGACTTTTTTTTTTTTTTTTTTTTTGTGACACGTGCAACTGTTCATCCGTCCCGTAAATGCTTGTCATTTCAGAGATATGCGTCCAGCCTGGACAAATCGGAGGCTTTGAGGCCGACAAGGTGAGGTCGTGGTCCTCTCAAGATGACATGGACGTCGTGGACGGGAGGTGCTTTGATGAGAATATTCTCGAAGAATCACCGCAACAAAATGGTTTGTGTCCGAGGAGAAGTCTTTCTTCACCTTTCACCATCGTCTTCCAATGTTCACGCTTCATTGTTTTAGAAGTGAAGTGAAACTCAGAATTACATCTATTAATTGTTGCCGGTTCCCCTTTTTCCCCATCGGGACAAATTATGAATGAATACTGGGGTTTTTCTTCCAGGAACTGGTGTTTCTTCTCAAATTACAAGGGAAAGTCCAAATGAAAGTAACCCAAAGAAATGTAAAACATGAATGATCCTCACTTCAAATTTTATCCGTGCGGCAAGTTGTAGCATTCATTTTTCTTCTGTAAGTATTTCACCAGAATGGAAAAACATGTCAGGTTAAGGTCTAATTTAACCTTTTCAGGGACAACGGTTACTACAGTGGACGGCTTATCGTGTTATCAGGTTACAGGTTATCACGATTGGTGCATGACAGGGTTAAAGTCATAACGACTGTTTGTACAAATATGACCAAAAATTTTGGGCTTTCACTCTGCACGTATTTTACGCGGCGTTCAGAGAGGAGAACGGCCCGGCTCACGCTTGCTATTTGTGTTGCTGGTTGCTAAGCGACGAACCAGGAAGTGGCCCGGTGCCTCTTCCCCCTTTTTGGAATGTGGAGTAGGCTGCAACTTGAGTGATTTACCGCTGTCGTTCCTTCGTAGGATCTCACGTGGAAGACCTCTCCCCACTAGCCGCGCTTCCCCAATCAACTCGGTGGGCCTTGTATTGCAAACTGCAAGATATCCTGAGGGACAGAGTGACTCTGTCGCATCTGCAGTGTGCGGTCAGTGAACTTTCACAACGGGAACGCCCATGACGATTTGAATTCCAATCTTGTTTCCGTCTCTTTCAGCTCGAGGAATTGTGCGTTGGCAAAACACCTGACACCACGACTCGGCAGGAGAAGCTCTCAGACTCTGTCGAGGACGCTTCTCCTTCCCTGCATGCTGCTCATCTCTTGGTCGCTGCCTTGGAAGGTGAGAGGAGACATCCTCAAGGACAGATTCCTGGAAAGCTTTTTCCAGTCTTACCGGTGGGCTTTTTTTTTTTTTTTTTTTTTGTAGAGCTCCCTGATAAAACTTTGAGCCTCATGTGTGACAGTCAGCCCGAGTTCATAAAGGCCTTCAGCATCCTGGTGAGTAGTTTCAAGAACTGCTCATCGTCATGTTCGCTTACAAAAAAGAAGCTTTTATTCACTATACTTCAAAAACATTACTCGTACATCAATTGAAAACCCCAATGGTTACTGCAACTAAATTCCCCGTCATCCATCTCCCTTCGTTCTAGTTGAACCTGATGAAGGAGAGTGGCCCTTGCCTCCCCCTCGAGTGTCTTCCTACTCCGATGCGGGAAGAGCAAGCTTTCCAGCAAGCAAAGAAGCTTCTCGGCTCCATTGGCGTGACCATCAGCATCGACAGTGACCAGCTGTGGTGGGAGAAGGGAGTAAAAAGTCAAATCCAATTCTTGGTCCTCCGCCTCAGCGCGTATGGACTGTCCCTGTTGTGCAGTAGACAAAAACAGGAATTCTTTTCCTGTGTGGTCTAGGTTCTCGCTCGATTGTAAAAGGTACCTGTACTCAGTATTTGTGTTCTTGCATTTACAGACTATAACAGTGTTTCCCAACCGTTATTGAGTATTAATCCAAGACACATATTTTACATCAGGAGTAATATATATATACATATACATACATATATATATAAGTTTATATTTATATTTAACTCAGAAGGTATTGATCAATATCTTGACATTATGTTGCATGAATGGCAGCTGGTGAATACACAGGTTAACGGTCCTTTGCGCCATCTTGTGGTAGAGCATTTGATTTACCTGTCTGTCACCA